GAGCGGCGCCGTCGAGGCGTTGCCCTGCAACGGCGCCGGCCCGCTTCCGGCCGTCTCGCTCCCGCCGCTTCGCACTCGCGTCTCCGGCCTCCTCCCTTGCACAGCACCTCGCCCGTGCCTACAGCTCTCTTGGACGGCAGCTCTGGAGCGCCAACGTCCCCTTCCGCCCTCCGCACCAGGTATGCTCTCCTTTTTCCCTCTTTATTTTCTTATTAATTTTTTCATATGGTACGCACATGCCTTCTCAGTATATATGCATTGATATGTGCAGACCAGTTACGTGGAACCTCTCCTTTTTTTTCCTCTTTTTATTTTCTTAATTTTTCCATATGGTACGCACATGCCTACTCAGTATATATATGCATTTCTATATGTTCATTCTGTGCTTTTCTCCTATGAACTACACATTGTGTGTCTCTGCTTCACTGCTGTGGTGTTATGTGGCTGAATTTTTTAGATTATTTACAACACATTAGTTGTCAATATTACATCTGTACACTACCTTAATCAGCCCTTTTTGCCGTACTGCTGATTCTTTGACCTGCTATTTGGTGTGTTCATATATACCTGCGTGTTATAGACACGCTCAGTTTTCGCATTTCATTTTGTGCCTGTTATTCATTGTTCAGCTACACCGCTTAATTCCTTAAACATGCTTTACGTACATTTGCTAGCAAAGGATGACACATCAGGCATCGGACTATTTCTCGGCCCATGGGCAAACATCGCCATCACAGGTCCCACATCGTGAGGCACTGAGGCGTCGGTCTATGATGCTTCCTAACGATGTACGAGCCTCCGCTAATGCCACCTCTCCTCATGGTATTCCTGCTCCCTTTGCCAATATGTATTTTTTACATACAAAACAAGTTTACCTACACTGCCTTCTATAGTTCTTCAGTTACACTAATGCATCTTCATCCTTCTTTGCAGTGTCCCCACCATTTGGGCCTTCTATTGCTTCTACAACGAGTCGCAAACGTAGAGCAGACAACATCCTCCGCAGTGATGGTTAGTGCAACCATTGTTTACCTACGTCTAACTGCTTGGTCGCATTCAGGGCAAAAATATTTACGTGTATATTCTTCATTATGGTCCTGCTCTCCAGCTCTCCATTCAGCAACTGTCAGTACAGACCACCGTGTTGTTTCGGTGTCTTCCTCTTCAAGATCTACCCGTCGTTGGAGTTCACTTGCTCAAACGAATGCCACCACGAATCCTGCTCTTCAATACTTTGGTCGACACAAACGTTAGCCTCTTCTCTCAAACCGTTCTCTATACCAATTTACTCATGCTGCATGTCAATGCTAAATCCCATTGCAAATCCATTCCGCCCCTAAATCCAGTACTATATATTGACACTACCGCTATTGTTACATAACCATGCTATTATATGCCTTCAGACCATTGTCCATATTGAATGAGATCTTTGTCAAATTCGATTGTTCATAGCCAATGCTCATGCTGCACCACATAAACAAACATATGTTCAAATAGTGGCTACTTCAGCTGACCCTAAGTGGCCATTCAAAATTAAACGGCGCCAATTCCCCGTTCGTGTTTTATATGCCATGACGATAAATAAAAGCCAAGGCCAAACATTAGGTAGAGTTGGTGTTTACCTGCCAAGCCCTGTATTTTCCACGGCCAATTGTACGTTGCCTTCTCACGTGTTACATCTCCAAGAGGCGTATGGGTCCTCAATGAAAATAACCCCCCTGGATATAAAGACAGTACCCATAATGTTGTTTACAAGGAAATTTTTGAAGAGATATCCAACTGATGTACTCAGATTGGCCACGTCCCCTCACTAACCTCGATTTCCTTTAACATCAACCACCTGTACCTGTTTATTCTCTAATGCATCTGTTATTGTTTCAGTTTTAGTCTACTGTGTTACTACCCACATGTAAGAACTGCACAGGCTTTGTGCCATCTCTGTATTACACCCTTTGCTATGATCCATGCTACCAAGAAGCCCCCTGCTTATAAGGTAACAATTTCGCCTCTCACAGTTAGACTTAGCTTGCCCAAATATTATCGACATACTCATTTTCCTCCACCAACAGCTGAGTTTAATTATGTACTCTCCAATTTAACACTTTATGCTTCAAGTTAGATGCACATTGTATGCAGCCCTTCTATTCCAAATACTGGACATAACTTTTTGTGTGTGTTTTTATAGCTTCTTCTCCATACCTACACAGCAGCCAGTTGCTCCAGGTGCAAGCGACTGACAGTTGATTCGTGAAACTTTGGGTAAACACGTATGCAATATTAACTCTTTCCTTGCCATTTGCCTTTGTCCTCCACAGCGCCAAAAATATTCTTAGTAAGGGCCACACATGTTCTATGCCCTCTATATGTGAGTCTGTTGCCTCCAAGGTCCATGCAGCCACACCAGCCTTTTGTTATCAGATAATAATACTCCACATCACACTCACCCCAAAAAAGGACTATTACCAATACAAACTCTGTTTATCAGCCTCCTTCACTTTTACCATCAGGTTTTAGACTTGGTTTTCAACATCTAAACAGAGATCAAAGCTTCAGGTGCAAACTAAAGTAGCTATTTTCAATATGTACACAGGGATCAGAGCTTCAGGTGAAAACTACAGTACCCTTTTCCAGTTTTTTCCCAGCACATATGCAAGATTGCCATCTTCCCAACATCAGCAATTGTCCATTGTAACACAAATACCTATTCCCATATGCAGTAAGGAGCAGTAACTAGAGACCGTGCAGTAATTAGATAGCACTGCTTGATATCATCTATCCTTTACCTCAGTGTTCCCTTTTTTAAGTAATATGTTCCTTATTTTAATTTATGGTCCTCCTGCCAATAGTCTCAATTCCTAATCACGTGCTGATTGTAGAGCAAAATGTTATAATGTGCCTTCTTTCGCTGTTACTTTTGGCTGCTCCTCACTGCTTTCAGCATGCATAGTCATCATTTATTTTATATAAATTGAAGTTTCAGAGCAATAGGCAATACATCATTTGACAAATTGAACAACAATATAGAAATTTAGTCACTCTACAAAACATGCTATATTCGCTCTTTGCATATCCCTTGCTCATTTTGGTATAAACATTCCTATCATGCCCCTTGCACACCAGGTGGGCGGTTCTGCAAAACATGAATCCACTTTGGACAGTCTCACCCTCATCCTGTTCACCTTACAATTCATTTTGGTAAGTATGATCTCGATTTGGTGTGCTACGTCACCTCATTTTGAGTTTAACATTCAGCCATGATACGTTTGTCATTTATAATTATTCTCATCCTCACAATATCTTCACTCCTGTCCCAAGAAGATGCCTATTGACAAAGTTGGTCCTGCACAGCTGTTTGCCTTACAAAGCATGCCATAACTTTGCCTTGCTTATACGATACACAGAAACTGATGCTTCTGTTGTTACTAACCTTTCCTTCCATGTAATTATGAAATTATTCACAGTATGTTTTTTATTCACCTTTGCCACCTTTGGTCTGGGCCAAAGGCTTGCTTCTGACTCTCACTCCGTACCATGTTCATGCAGTTAGGGCCTGTTTGGCATGGCTCCACTTCTAAACTCCAGCAACTCCATTAAAAAATCCAGCCAAACACCCCAACTCCAAAACTCCACGGAGGTGCCAACTCCATGGAGCTGTAGTGCAAATGGAGATGGAGTTTTGGAGCACCTCTTTTGCTGCTCTAGAACCCTCTCTTTTGAACCTCCTCGTAGAGTTGATGGGTAATTACCCACCAATGCCACTGGTTACAGAGAAAAAACGTTTCGCTTCTATTCTCTACCCCCCCCCCCGCTGAAAACGTTTTGCTTTCGCTTCCCAGTCCCGCGGCTCTCTCGGCCCTGCCTCTTCTCGCGAGACGGCGCGGCGCATTAGGGTTTCCGCCGCCGCCAGCAGACCGACGGCCGCCGTCCACCCGCTGCCGGCCGGCCGAGCCCCGCACCCGGCCGCCCTAGGCCCGCCGCTGGTCTCCTAGCCCCGCCCGGGCGCCTAGCTCCGCCTCCCGCCACGTCTGCAGAAGCCCCGACGCCTGGCGCATCCTCCCACCGTCGGAGATCCCCCGCCGGCCGCAGCTCCCCACCGACAGCCGCAGAGGCCCGCCAACAGTCGTCCGTAGATCCCCCGCCGCCGTTCACAAGGTATGGTGCCTGCTGGTTCGATGTTTTGGCCCGCCGCAGAGGCCCGCCGCCGTTCTATCGGTGCCTTTTGGCTGCCGTTCGATGCTCTGTGTGCTGAAATTATTGCCTAGCTTGAAATTTACTAGGATTTAAGCAGTGATGATATCTCTTGTCTGAACACTAATATTATGTCTTGCAAACAAAAGGTAAATACCGTGTGATGAAATTCCATCCTTCCATCACGCTCTGTTTGAAGAGAAAGTTGCTTTGGGTTAATGGCCAAGTAGTGCTTGTTATGATTTCTGAACATTTAAGCAATGATGATATCTGTTGATTGTTATGATTGGTGAGAACTTGAGCTTATAGGGGATGCTTTCTGTAGCTTACAGACCTACTATCTTTCTGTACTTCTGTTGATTGTTATGATTGGTGAGAACCTGAGCTTATAGGGGATGCATTCTGTAGCTTTCTGTAGAATGAATCAAAGAAAAGAGTGTGTTGTTTGGTATAATAATAAGTTGCTCCTTGCTTCACCTCCATGTTTAGGATGGGGATATAGTTGAAGTGAGGGTATAGATGCAACAGACTGAGAGTTTACTGTGTATAATCAATAACCCTCAGTTCTTGCCAGATCTTGGTTCCTCAGTTCTGTTGCTTATGTACACAGTTTACTGTTTATTGATTATACTCTCAAGTCTGTTGCATTACCAGTTTCCAGTACACCTTTCTCAGGGTTATTGATTATATTGGTTCCTCAGTTCTTGCCAGATCTTGGCAATGCAACATACTGAGAGTTTACTGTGTACATAAGCAACTGCAAGTAACATTAGGTAACTTGCCTTCTAATATGAAATTTGTGAGTTCGATAGATGCCTGAAATTGATTGGAACTCGGAGAACACTCGAGTGTTGTGTATGTTGTTTGCCGAACAAGTTGGAAAAGGAAATCGGCCAAACACACACTTGAATGCACTTGGTTATGCTGAGGTTGAGAAAGGGTTCAAAGAAAGGACTGGAATTGTGGCTACCAAGGTTCAGATCAAGAACAAATGGGACAAGTTGAAGGAAGATTTCAAGGCATGGAAGAAACTAATGCTGAGGCAAACAGGGACTGGTTGGGATCCTATAAAGAAGACTATTGCTATGGATGATGAATGGTGGAAAAAAGCTAGAGCTGTAAGTTGGTTCAAAATTTTTGCTATATTTGTTTTACATATGACAAATCTGTTGGTAATACTTATAATAATACCTGTTGTTCTGCTTGTTTCAGGACATTCCGGGTTGTGGAAAGTTCAAAAAGAAGGGCCTTGAGAATGAAGATGACTTAGCTAAGTGTTTTGCTGACATCACTACTATTGGTATTGATCATTGGTCTCCTCATGTTGTGAATGTTGAAAATGTTGATGAGACACAAGAGGAGGCAACCAATTTTGATCCACAAGATGATGATGTCATTCCTGAAACACAAGAGGAGGATATTGGTATTTCTCTTCCACCTGCAAGTGGCAAGAGATTGGCTAGGCCTGTTGAAAAAAGTGGCAAGAAGGCGAAGTCTGGAAATGCACTCCTAATTCAAGAAGCAGTAAACAGTATGGCAAGTTCAGCCAATGAATATGTTTCGAAGAGACATGGAAAATACTTACTCTATTGATGAAGTGATGGAGGTTGTGATTGCTTGTGGGGCTGGCTATGATAGCAATGGACATTACATTGCAACTGAACTGTTTGTGAAGAAGGAGCAAAGGGAGATGTTCATGACCTTGCCTACTAATGAGATTAGGTTCACTTGGCTTAGGAGGAAGTACAATGATAAATATGACAAGTAGAAATGGTAGTGAGATTAGGTTCAATGGCAGTTGTATGCTATATTCTATTTTATTCCAGTTCACTTATGTATGGCAGTTGTATGCTATATTCTATTTTCTTGCCATTCATTTATGTATGGCAGTTGTATGCTATATTCTATTTTCTTGCAGTTGTATGGCAGTTGTATGCTATATTCTTTTCTTTGATTCATTCTTGTCGATTGGCTTTCTGTACTTTCTGTACTTTTCTGTATGGCAGTTGTAGCTTTCTGTATCTTTCTGAACTTTTCTGTAGGAGGACGCTTTCCGTAGCTTTCTGTAGCTTTGTGTAGTTCATTTTCTTGCAGTTGTATGGCAGTTGTAGCTTTTTGTATCTTTCTGTACTTGCAGTTGTATGGCAATTGGCTTAGGAGGATGCTTTCTGTAGCTTTGTGTAGTTTATTTTCTTGCAGTTGTATGGCAGTTGTATCTTATATTTCATTTATGTCAATGTTCACAGATGTCTTCTAAGTGAGTCTGATGATTCTAGTGATGGAGATTTTTTTTAAATGGTTGAGAGCAGTGCAAAACTAGCACAAAGTTATCATGAATTGTATATGGACAAGGCACCGCCGAGATTCATGTTTTCACAACAAAGTGGAATGGGATGGCTGATGGAGACGGTAAACACTCCAGGGGAGTGTCATCGAATGCTTCGGATGAATGAGGTTATTTTTCATGATGTTCATGATGTGTTGGTTAAGAGGTACGGATTAAAACCATCGAAACACATTAATACATATGAGATGTTGGCCATTTTCCTATTCACATGTGGTGGGTGTGAGTCAAATAGAAGAGGACAAAATAAGTTCAAACATTCAGGTGAAACCATTAGTAGAAAATTTCATGAAGTTCTAGATTGTGTGGTTGCCATGGCACAAGATTTCTTGAGACCAACATATCCTAATTTCCACAATGTGCACAAGAGGATTAGGAATGACAAGAGAGCATATCCATATTTTAAGGATTGCATTGGTGCACTTGATGGAACCCATATTCGTGTGTTTTTATCACCTGAAGAACAAGTGAGATATATTGGTAAGACTGGAATTGCAACTCAAAATGTGCTTGCCGTTTGTGATTTTGATATGCGCTTCACGTATGTGGCTGCGGGTCAACCGGGTTCTTTGCATGACACTAGTGTATTGTACCATGCATTGGAAGCAGATGTAGATGTCTTCCCACATCCACCTCAAGGTAAATATTTTTGCTTACGTTCTTTTTCATATTTGTATGCACAAATTTATCTTGTTTTACATATGTGTAGGCAAGTACTATGTTGTAGATGCGGGCTATCCTAATCGTCCGGGGTACCTAGCTCCATACAAGGGTGAAAGATACCACTTAACCGAGTGGCATCGAGGTATGGAACCAAATACTCCGAAAGAGAAGTTCAACCGTATACACTCATCTGGTCGTAATGTTATTGAGCGCTCATTTGGAGTATTAAAAATGAAATGGCAAATCCTTTACAAGATGCCCGGTTATTCAATGGTCACACAAAATTGTTGCTGCTACCATGGTCCTACACAATTTCATACGTGAACATGCTAGTGTTGATGTGGACTTTGCTAATTTTGATAGAGATCCTACCTTCATGCCTACTATTCCGGAAAGGTACAACAAGTATGCCGTGTCTCAACATGCCTCCGATGGATCAACTTCGGAATCAAGCTTTATGACTATGGACACATTTTGTGATAATATGGCTACATCCATCGCCCTAGCATGAAATTAGTGCAATGGTTATTGTAACGACCTTATTTTGGAACTATGAACTCATTTTGGATCTATGTGTACTCAGATCAATCATTGCAACCATTTGCAGTTGATTAATGACCATTATCGATGTCATTCTTCATTGTCTGAACTGCCTTGTTCTGTTCCATTTTGAATCGAAATCTGAAATTCCGAATGCAAATGCAATGCAATGCTGCTCTGCCACTCTGAACCGGCCGCCAGCTTCACCAATCAGCATGTACTTTCACGGTAGTTGCCACAGATCTTTTCACCAATCAGCTAGTGCAGCAGCTACCCTCTTCATCTTTTCACGGTAGTTGACACAGATCGATGACAGTCAAACGAAAGTGTGCCTTCTAAAATCTTCTTGGCATAGTACAACAGTAGTATTTCACAGCATGTACTTTCATTTCATATTTGTGAGAAGTAGTTCAAATCGAACCAGGGGCAACAATGGCAATCTACCCTTAAACTCCTCTTTTCTGGAGCTGGGACACCCTCCCAGCCAAACACCTCCATCAGACAACTCCAACTCTACCCAGAGCTGACTCCACCAGGAGTTCTGGAGTGAAGCAGCTCTACTCAGAGTTAGAGTCATACCAAACGCCTTAGTTCTATGACAACTCTTCAACCTACGGCCCCAGTGAGCCTTTGGGTGTTTTTTGTCTACTTGAATGTAATATATATTTCATCTTCGGTGCAGGTCCTAGATCTGCTTATGCTGGAATGGCGACCTGGCTGGCTTACCCCATTTAATCGACGCCTGCAAATGCCTTTTCTGTCTAAAGACACATTCAGCCTGTTCGTTTGGCTGGACTTGTTCGTTGCTGGTTCGTGAAGAAGTACTGCTGGCTAGTTTGGTGTGAGAGAAAAATACTGTTTCAGCTAGAAAATTTACAATCATTTACGACAAGCACAAGCCAACCGAACAGGCATATTGTCACTACAGTTTTACCCAAGACAAAGAGATACCAGGATTATGTTTCCTTGCTTCAGTTATGCTAAGAGATCTTCAATGTACGTATATTCAGTTCTAAAACTGTATACACATGCTAATAAAGTTCATTCTGGAACTTAGTTGCTATACAAATCTTAAACAAATCGATATCAAGATTTTTTCCCATGACAAATATCTGGCAGATCGTGACTGCTTTCCAAGCTGCCCGCGCAACGCGCGGGGGCACATGCTACCCTGACGGCTCGGAGGGCCAGAAAGGCCACACCGCTCGCCCGCCCCCGGGGCCGGGCCTCTCGCGCGCAGGTCGCGCGCTAATCGGGTAGCGCGACCGGAAGCGCATTAGACTTTGCGAAAAAATTTCGATTGAAGCATGCACAGGACGAGGCTGGGCCTGGTGGTTCAATAAGCTGCTCCCGGTTGTCTGAGTCGGGGCCTGGTAATTAATTGGCTACCAAGCAGCCCAACACGTCCAGAGCCCGTAACTGAGCCCGCCCCATGTCTCTCGAATCTCTCCAGGCCACCGACCCGGCCACGCCTTCCCATCCATCTTGATGGCACCTGGGGAAGGTAGGAACACCAAAGGTGCCCTTGTCACGTGACAAAGGAAAGCGTGGCATGGATTCGATTATTCATTATTCCCACGTCCCATCGGTCTCCCTCCAAGTCCCACGGTCATTGGCCATATTATGCCCATATATTCGTGCTCCACTCCACACCGAAAGCGGAGAGAACCGACGCACAGAGCATAAGTTGTGTTGCGTGACTTTCCTTAAGCACCCCGATAATAATAGCACGCTTTTGAGCTGTGGGAGCGTGTGTCCCATGTGTACACGAAGGCTTGGCCTCCTTATACAAAAAACGGGGCGTAAAGAAGCTAGGTGTACAGCGCAGGCGCCAGGCGGTAGTGCGGTACGCTGTACGCAGGGCGTAGCTACTTATAGTCTACGATACAATGATGATGTGGTTCACGGTTCATGTAAAATTCATCGATAAGACGATAACCGGTACTCATCTGTAATCCCATGAGACAGAAGAGCACGAAAACACTCAACGAGGGGGCAGACGAGCACATCGCGCATCAGGTCTGCGGAGTGCTAAACTGCAAACTGCGTGAGTTTGACTGAGCAAACCTGCAGGCTGCAGCGCCAGCGCGGGCAAAGGGAGCACATGCCCGAGGCCGCAGACGTTAATCAACGTGCTCGAGGCCCGCCGGTCTGCTGTTCGTCTTCGTCGTGTTTGGTTTATAAGCCACGACTGAAAGTAATATTAACTGATTTGGTGTGAGAAAAAATATTATTCATTAATTAAAAACAAGCCAAACAAATCCAAAACAAACAGGACGTTTGTCCTTGAACTAACCTACGGCTATCGGCGCCCATCGCAGCAGTGTGCCAATATAATGTGATCGCTGCTTCTAAACATGCATGGCACTGGCAAAATCAACGAAAATTTCGCAACCAGTCCAGCGTTGCGACAGCATAAAACAAGGCGAACGAATATGTGCATTTCAAAAGGAGCCCTTGGGCCAATTCCCATGGCCTCTAACGAACGTGTACTGGTTTGATGAATTGTACTTCGATCTCCTGCCGTCCGCCCGTTTTATTCCACCGCCATTCTCCAACTCCATATTTTTCTTTGTTTTTTTTCTCAAGACGAACGAACCACCCGGATTGTTTTGCAGGGCTCTCGCGTGTCCAAAATAGTTTTAGCCCTGAATTCTCCTAAAACAGCTCTTTTTAAAACTAAAACTGTCGGTGCAGAAAGTGACCAATAAGTAATGTCGTACGTTGTGATCGGAGGTGGCCTAACACTCAATGACATAGGGTTTATACTGGTTCAGACAACGTGTCCTACGTCCAATTTGAGTCGGTCGGTGACTTTATTCCTAAGCCTAAGTGCTCGAAGTTTGCAGTGGGGTTACAAACAAGAAGGAGAAAGATAGGAGGTACAAGAGATCCGGTCGGACTTCGGTCGAAAGGGCCGAGAGTGACGGGAGCCTCACTATGAGCTAAGTGTTCAAGCGCGTGCTTATGGTTCGAACCTGGCGGTTCTGTGGTTGTGAACTAGGGAACTTGATCGACCTGAATCAATCTGACCGAGCTTAATGAATCTTTTGTTGGGAGAGAGCGCATCCCCTTTTATAAATGAAGGGGATGGCCTTACAAGTGAGAGGGAGAGAGTACGTATGTTTCTAAGCCTTGTTGCTCACGTCGGCGGGTACAGGATGATGGTAGGCGTCCACAACACTGTTGGATGTCAGATGCACGTGGAAGGTTGTATTGTC